ATTTTATTACCAGTCTCCACGGGAAACCCTTCTCATAACAGTGAAAATTTAATTTTTGTTAAGGACCTGTCTTCTGAACACTACGATGGCTGCAGCTACGTTTTGCAGGTGACCTCCTTATGGAGTTGGGTGCTGGGGTAGAATTGGCAACTGCAGCTGCACCACACCTTTTTCTTCCTTTGGCTTGTGCTGCTAATGTCGCAAAGGTTTGTTTTTTCCTGGTTATGTAAAATAGTTTAGCTGTTGTGAAATCTCATTTTTTTACTTGATTTGTAGAATGTCGGAGCTGTAACATCAACATCGACCCGCACTCCAATCTACAAAGCCTTCGCTAAAGGAGAAAATATTGGAGATGTCACTGCTAAAGGAGAATGCGTAGGAAATATAGCAGATCTGGTATAGTTGTGCCTCCCTCCCTTTAGACCTAGACAAAGTAGATGGTTTGTGTTTGACAGAATTTGCCTAATCCTTGAAGAAAATTAAGTTTGTTCTTCTAAAGCTGAAAATTATGTATAAAAGATGCAAGTTCTCAAGCAACAAGTGAATATTCATTTTATTGATTTTCTATGCGTATTTCAATCTGATCTCAGATGATATGCACAGTTGCAAATTGTTATGGAATTACTGTTTTCCTTTTTTTAAATAAATATTTTTTTTATACGAAAACACCCCTTGGATGGATAAAAGGGGTTACGTTTGTTAAACGTAAAGCATTGTTATCAAGTCTCCAGAAGAGTTCTCCTGCATGTTTTTATTTTCTCATTTATTTGGTCTCTCCTCTGCAGCTCCCCTAACTATTTACTTTGTCAAGCTTTGAAAGGTTAAATTCCCAAAAGTTGGACATAAAAGGGGTTACGGTTAAATTCCCAAGAAAATGCTTTACGATTACGGTTTCTTATAAAGATGATTGAAGCTTCATCTGACATAACTTTTCTTATAAACGTAACCCCTTTTATCTATCCGAGGGGTGTTTTCTTATAAAAGGGGTTACGGTTAAATTCCCAAGAATTGAAACTTCAATCAGCTTTACGTTTGTTATGTCATAGAGATAATTAAGTTTCAGATGAAGCTGATGGAAGTTTCAATTCTGTCTTGTGAAGCTAGGAACTGGACTAAGCATCATGATTTCAAAAAGAAATCCATCTTTGGTTGCTACTTTTGGTCTGCTTTCTTGCGGTTATGTTTTCAGCTCTTATCAAGAGGTTTGTCTGAAATACTAAAGTTGTTTTTTTTACACTCTCATTTCTCTTGATTATGAGAATTTCTTTACTCATTCTAGTTCCATATGCAATATTTTACAGGTGAGATCCGTTGTGTTGCATACGTTGAACAGAGCAAGATTCAATGTAGCAGTAGAGTCTTTCCTCAAGACAGGTGCTTAAGTGTTATCCAATACTTCAAAAAATAGGGGGGAGAGAGAGAGAGATGTTTTCAATCCTTAAATCCCTTTTCTAGTGGCTTAAAGTTTACTAAAAAAATAAAGCGCATTTCTTTTTATTTAGGCATGTGTATAAAACTGTCTTATGTTTGTTTGCAGGGCGAGTAACCTCATTGCAGAAGGGGAATCTGAATGAAAGAATATTAAGTTTCCCGTGGCTGAAAGAATGTCCTGTAGTTCTTGGTAAATATTTCATCCTCCCAATACTCATGCATTTCTTTCATTCCTCTCAATGGAAGTCACTCTCTCATTAAGAAAATATGGCTTGAGTGTTTATATTCAATGTTTTGTGTGTATTTGTTGTGCTTGCTTTTCACATTGTTGAAGCGTGTAGAACTATTTTCAATCTTTTGGCAGGACCAAGATTCAAAGATGCATTTCAAGATGCTGGTTCTTATCTCGCCATAAAGCCTTTGTTTGATGTATGTTATGTGACGTCTTGTCTGATTGTTTGTCCTTAAGCAGTGTTACTCTTTTATTTTAATTTTCTGATATTTTCTTGATGGGCAATAGAGAGAAAAATACATTGTGACGTACAATCATACTAAGGGTAAGGTATATGCATTACTCAAAGATCAAGCGAAGTCAGACGACATCCTAAAAGCTGCTTTTCATGTAAGAAACACGACTTGTTTTCATTGTACATATTTCCTGCCAATATTTTTCTTTTGTGATGTAAGTTACTTCTCTACAGGCTCATGTGCTTTTACATTTTATACGCTCATCAAGTGGGGGTAAAAACTCTTCTCGAAAACAAGGTGATGCCTTTTCCAACTCTGTGCCAGCAACGACCAATCTTGAAGCACCGATTGCTGCATCATGTAAAATGGTCTCAGCATCATTTGAGATTTTCAAGAGTCAAGCTTCAGAGCAAGTAGGAAAACGACCATGTTTTTTTTTTTGTTGCTTGGATTGCATCACTTTCACCTCATATGAGTATATGGAATATAGAATTAGCTAGCAGTATTTTTGCTTCATGATCTGGTGAATGGCAGTGTTATAGATAACATAAATTTTAGTCTCTTTTGTACTTGTTTGTTAATCATGCACAAAGTAAAAACTTGAATGGCTATAGTTCTCTTCTTTCTTTTTCTTTTTCCTCTTTCTATTTCTTCTTTTTCTTTTTCTGATGAGAAACTTGGCCAATGTATTCAACAAAAGTGTGGCAAACCTACTTCTCTTTCACCAGTCGAGTCATGTTTCCAAGTGTTTGCAGCTCTATAAATCTTTAGTAGCTTCAGTTGAAAGAATACAATTAAGACTCTGTTTCTTATGTCGTTACTTTTTCTAAGCTCTTAACTGATCGTCATCTTTGCTTTCCAGAGTAACATTGCGATCAAGAAGTTATTTTCCAACAGCTATATTTTCTTTGTAATGTTGTAATTTAATATTATTTTTTGCATCTTGGCAGGGATGGGTGATGGCAGAATCACTTCTCAATCCTGGTAGAGCTCGATTATGTCACAGATAAAAAAGATACGGACAACATGCAGAGTTTCACCATCGCAATATACAAGCGGATAATATATATCGCAAAATCCTTGCCGGAGGCCAAATTGGGCAACATAAATTCATTTCAAGTATAACAATAGGTAAGTCTAATGAATGCGCCTCACCCGCATCTCTTTATCTATTTCCAGGTATAACTTTATTTGCTGCTAGTCTTCGTATTTATGGTTATTCTCATAATTTTTTTTTTTTGCAATTTTGTTTCTCCCCCGGTGTATTAAGCTCAAGTACACAAGACATTTAGGATCTTTCTCTATTACTTAATGTTTTACAACTCTCTCTCTCTCCCCCTCCCTTTCAGACTCTCTCATAAGATGGATTTGGTAATCAGCTGTCTCTTTTTTCTTTTAGTACAACAGATGTTGGGTAGGGAATTCTCTGTAATCGGCTGTACTTGTTAAAAGTCGCATGTCGATTACAAATTTCAGAACGTTTAGAGAGTTTGTTTCATAATGTTGTTTGATTACAACTTCCAAGAATTTCAGCCACTAGACAAATATATGCTAAACAGGATCTTTACCGCTAATCTTTCATGTACACTGGAGGTGATGTGCCTCGCCAATCAAATTTCCCCAATGAATCCAGCCACTGGTTGAAGTTGAACGATCACATATGTGCTATCTTTAGAAAGTTGAAAACCCGAACGAGATCTGTCATTAGGAATTAGGATGTTTGACTTTTGCCCTGGGCTTGATTCATATGAAAGTTGTGAATTTTCCAGTTTTCTCTACATGGACTGATTTGCCAAGTTATTTGTCTAGCAACTCTAATGAAAGCACATTGGATTAGGATAAGGAAAAGGGGTTCTTTAGCCCCCTCTATTTCGATTTGTAGTTTGAGCGAGGAAGGGGTGTAGGCTTGAGCAAGGAAAGAGTTGTATCCTCCTGTTGCTTAGAGATCTGATAGCATGCAACTATTAGTTGTGTAAGAATCCCACATCATTTTGAATAATTGAAACAACCGTGAGTGTAGGTTCTTCTCTAGTCTAGAAAATGTAGGGAATTCGAAAAAGTTAAATAGAAATGTGACGTTCTATTAATAACACCTAACCTATGCTTGATGATTTGTCATATGAATATCAGCAACGTTAATTTTATGAATTTGTTTGCTAGTAATGTCATATTCAATGGGATATTTGGTAATGGGAAGGATATTTGAATGGACAGTATGGTGATTTTAGGACAATAATTATTTAAAAAAGAAAAAGAAAAAAAGAAGGGTGATTAGGTGGGGACATAGAATTATTTTAAAATCATAAAATAAAATTTGGCATGGATGATTAAATGTCATTTTCTATAATTTTGACATTCAGAATGAAACGAGCAAGGAAAATAAGGAAAATTAATTTTCTAAGCTCCAAGTTCCCTTTATAAACAAATTAAATACTTAGGTCTTGAATGTTCCAAATGTGCCATTTATAAGATGCCCTTTTCATTTGTATAAATTCTTTAAAATAAACTCTTTCACTTAAGTTGTGCCATTTATAATATTCACATATTTTGTATAAATTTTGAAATAAATTATTAAGTGGAACCGTTTTCCGGTAAGATTCAAAAAAAAAAAATTCTTAAAAAATAAACAAACTAATCCTAAGAATTAACCTAAGGTTTGATGCATATCTTTTAAATATCTATCAAATGGCCAAACGTTTATCTACAGTAAAATATATTACAGCTTAAGTGATTTTTACGTTAATTGTGCATCAATTGTCGATAGAAATAGTTTGATTATTTTTATTGGTAAGAACTTATAAGGACAAACCATTAGATAACTTAGTTCAATTAATTAATATATAAAAAAACGATGAAGAAAGATAATCAAGAGAATTTGGAACTTATAGCCACGTCATTGGTGTCCATTGAATGGGCCTTAAACTAAAGTGGGCCCATTTTTCTTTCTTTTGTTTTCCTTTTGGGCCCTCTTCAGTCACTGCCACGCGGCAGATTAAACCGAATGGTTCCACACCAACACTAAATAAGAAAAATAAAAGAAAAATAAAAATGAAAATAAAAAGAGTTTTGTGAGTTCGGAAAATATGACCTTCAACTTCAACCTTTGCATCGTCGAGAGTTTTCCACGGTCAAAGTCAAACGGTCTTCAGAGCCGTTACCCGCCCTTAGCTGGCGTCAAGCGGTCTTCAGAGCCGTTGCCCGGCCACCGCGCATTCACACTCGTTATATATATCCCCCCGCACTCGCATTCTCTTCTTCAGCACATTCTCACACTAGTGTCCGAGTGCTCCATCAACGGCCTCTTCTCCTTTGAGTGTTCGTTGCCGAAACCAAAAGCTAGGTCTACTAGGCAATCGGAGGAAGAGAGAGCACAAGCGAAAGGAGTAGAGTGTTCGTTATATATATATATCCCCCCGCACTCGCAATCTCTTCTTCAGCACACTCTCACACTAGTATCCGAGTGCTCCATCAACGGCCTCTTCCCTTTGGAGTGTTCGTTGCCGAAACCAAACGCTAGGTCTACCAGGCAATCGGAGGAAGAGAGAGCACAAGCGAAAGGAGTAGAGAGAGCACAGGCGAAAGGAGTTTCTCACATCGTCTCGGTGGTGAAAAATAGAGGTGAAGTAACCTTATTTCAGTCTCTTAGTTTTATGGGTACTTTGGTCTTGCCAATTCTGTTCTGGGTTTGAAATTTTAAGGGCACAGCCGGCTATTCCGATTTATGGGTTTATTGGAAAACTTCAGAGGGTTTTCCGATTTAGGGGTTCACTGGAGAACTTCAGAGGTTAATCGAAGGATTGTTCTTTCTTTTCTTGTTTCTGCTTGTTATTGACACCTTTTGTATTTTTGTGGCTTCGATTACGGAGGATTAGGGCGTTTTTAGTAGGTTCATTGCTCCCATGGTAACGTGATTATTATCTTGGACTTCTCGTTTCATTCTCCGTCATCTTCTATCTCTTCTCTATGTGAGGAGCCAGGGGACAAACCTGATATTCAAATTTATGTGTTGGCAGAAGAGAGGAAGACGACGAACTCTGATGTCATTGAGATTGGTGCCGATAACGGAGAGGGGAAGAACGAAACAGTCGCTCTCGATGAAGTGATTGCTTGGGCAAAAGAAAAGCAGTTCGTCCTGTCACTGAGGCTGGTGGGATTTTCAAACTAGTTATATTTTATGATCGATCAAGTTCGTTGGGTTGAATAATTTGCTTTTCAACTACTGGAGTTTTTGAGAATGAGTCGTTTGGTTCTAAATTTGCTCTTATTAACCTCTAGGTCATGACGATGAACGATATAGAGATATACACTGCCTGGATAACAATCAGTTTGTTGAAATAGAAGATACTTTAACCATTTATTTGTCTAACTTAATGATTTATTTGTATTGAAGATCAATGCATAATTATTTTTTTAATTGATTATATCATGCAGGACGGTACGATTCATGTAAAGTTTGTTGCAAACAGTTAGGGTGCATGACATATCACCACACAATACACAGAGGTAAGCCATTGTTTTTACTAAACTGATGAAATTAACTAGAGGGTATGGCTGGGTGCTCGTATACTGCTTTAATACATGGTCAATTGGCCTTCGAAATTCAAAGAGCCACCTCTCCTCTAAGCTCAACTGAGCTACAATTTAGCCAAAAAAAAAAAAAAAAAAAAAAAAGTTTCCCTCTCGCTTCTACAAAGCAGCCTTAATATTATTACCCTTTGACAAACTCCCACAAACAATCATGACTAACATCATGTATACACTTGGGTGAATTAACCCTGCAAAATGAAGGACAAATGTTGTTCTATTTTCTAATAAGTTTACGAGTTACAACTGACATTTTCTTTTACAGGTAGAAGAAAGAATTTGGTCAGCTGAACAGGAAAAGGCAGGGTCTAAGAAAGAATTTGGTTTGCTGAAGAGGAAAAGGCAGAGTCTAAAAAAGATGTAAGCTTCTGATGTGGTTGCTTAAGAAGATTTTGTGTCTTACAAGCTTGCTTCATTAGAAATTATTATATGGTTGCAAGTCCCCTGACAAGGTGCAATAATGTTTGAAAGGGATTTGGCAATTGAATAACACTACAAAATTATTCATGATAAACCATGTTGGACTATTTTATGTAGATGCAATAAAACACAAATTTTCAAAGTTGATATTTGGTGCTTATTTAACCCGAGCACGAAAGCTATCGATTAGCCTACCAAATTTGGATCTTGTAAGTATTATTTAAAATTATATTCTATTCACACAATTTTGACAAACTAGAATTTGTTCTAGTTTTGGGTCAAATTTTAACACAAAATGGTTATGTTCACTTTCTATTACTCATAGTTCCTTTGCAAATGCAAAAGATTTTGGTGAGTAACCATGTTATAAAAATTTCAGATGGAAATGGAGGGCATAGATAGAGATAATAAAGTTGAGGTCATTGTACGAGGAATCCAATTCCGGTTGCTACTTTAAACACTCCAATCACGTAAGAAATTTTCTATTTGACGTCATGAACTACCATATATGCGGCTTAGTTCTTACCGGAATTACATCTTTAGCAATGTTGTGGTCCTGATAAGGTTAGGTTCCTATATTTAACTTTTATTATTTCTTTCTTCTTCTTCTTCTTATTTTTTTTGTTATGTTCCTTGTGCTATTGATATTATGTTTTAGTAAATGATTAAACTACAATAAATGATTGTAATGAATGTTAAAGAGAAAAGAAAAGCCCAATTTACCTAAAAGATGCTCCAATCAAACAAAATAAGACTAAAAGGGTAATTACAAAAAATTGCACATGCCCTCCCATACAAAGGTGTGATCCAATAAGGCTACACCTCACCCCAAGCTTTTCCCATCCCTTTAAAAATCGTAATGTTTCTTTCAACCAAAGAAAATCCCTTTCAAAATCCGTAAAATGATGAAAAATAAGCTCTTTCACCATGGAACTACAACCCGTAGATTGGCAGTACCATAGGAGAGGTAGATCTAGTTGATATCCTTACTCAAAGTGGAAAAAGATATTTCTACTCAAAGCTCAAAGTGGAAAAAAAATTGTTGGAATAAGGGAATAAGTTGTCATATGTCATAGGTAAGAAAGAATTTGAATCGAAGACAATTGGAAAACAAAGAATGGTGTAGAAATCAAGGAATAAGGGATCACAAAAAGAGGTTTGTGAAAACAAGGGAAACACTCGAATAACAGAACTAAGAACCGAAGAATAAAACCTAAGGACCTAAGTTTTCCGGACAAGAATAAAAACTTGACAAGAAATGAGCATGGTACCCTAACATCTACCAAAGACACGATTAATGGCCGTCAAGTAGGCTATTTGTTGAGCCTTTGTACTCATTCTAGTTCTTGCATGTTTATCACATGTGACTAGAAGGAGTTGATCAAGGATGGAAGTGGTCCTAGAGCAGGTGCCATAGAGAACCACATCGAGTTTTCAACTCTGGAATGTTTTAAGTTGTTTTGTTTATTGGGTCCAATGTATTTAAACTCATAAAATTTATTTTGAAGAAAATGTATTTTATGTTTTTGTTTTAAACACGAAAATTTTTACCGTTTTTTTGTCTTTCCAAATTTTTACATAGTCGCGACTTATGAAATTTTGGTCGTGACAGAGTGGTATCAAAGCAAATGTTCTCTATGGCCCGGCTCGAGAGACGCTCTGCCGTGACCATGTATGAATACTTTCAAGACTTTCAGATAAGCATGCCTAAGGGTTTTGGAAGCTAGGTTAACTTTAGGGTTGTTGCACCAAGGTGGAAGAACTAAGACTATAGACCGTCAGAAACAGTCTTTACAAGGCCAAGTGTAGTTACAAGGGTTAAGGAACCTCGTAACATGAAGGTGAGAAGCACTTTAGACCATAAGAGAACCCACCAATAAGACTCATTCAAAAAGGAACAAGGTTGATTATATCAAAGTTAGTTGGGCACGAGGAAGAAAATATGCTCCAAGAGAGAAGGAAACACAAGGATGATCAAGAAAAACATTTAATCTCAATAAAACATGTAAAGAAGACTGTTGAGAAGAACGAATGTCGTAATAAGTAGATGACCTCATGGCATTAGTTGAGGACAAAAGGCCCTGGACAAACCCATCCAAGAACCCTCAAGGAACTTAGAAGGACATTACTCCCCAAGTAATGGTAAGAACGGTGAATTTTTGGGGAGAATTTGTAAGAGCTCAAGTTGGATTAAGATACTCGGGTAAGTTTAAGGTGACCAAGAAAGGTTTAAAAGATCCAAAGAAAGAAAGAAAAACAAGTTTGGATACGAGAATTGTGGGTACAAAGTATGAGATTGGGCTCCTAACATTTTGGTAATGGACAATGTATTGAATTTTTTTTTAGTTTAATTGTTATGTATGAAAGGAGATATGAATGGTATTAGTTGAGGACAAAAGGCCACAAGGGCATAAATTATAAGGACACGATGGAGAAGGAAAAACCTATCCAAGAACCCTGAAGGAACTTAGAAGGACATAACTAACACCAAGTACTCCCCCGAGTCATGGTAAGAATGTGAACTTTTGGGGAGAATTGGTAAGAGTTCAAGTTGGATTAAGATACTCGAATAAGTCTAAGGTGCCCAAGAAAGGTTTAAGAGATCCAAAGAAAGGAAGAAAAATAAGTTTGTTTACGAGAATTGTGGGTTAAAGTATGAGATTGAGCACCCAACATTTTGATAATGGACAATCTATAAAAGAAATTTAGTTTAATTGTTATGTATGAAAAGACTGATGGATGGTATTTGTTGAGGACAAAATGCCACAAGGAAAAATTATGAGGACATGATGGAGAAGGAAAAACCATTCAAGGACCCTTAAGAAACATAGAAAGACACAAATAAGACTAAGTACTTCCCAAAGTCATGGTAAGAATGGTGAACTTTTGGAGAGAACTTGTAAGAGCTCAAGTTGGATTAAGATACTCGGTAAGTTTAAGGTGCTCAAGAAAGGTTTAAGAGATCCAAAGAAAGGAAGAAAAATAAGTTTGGTATGAGATTGAGCTTCCAACATTTTGATAATAGACAATCTTTCGAATTTTTTTTAGTTTAATTGTTATGTATGAATAGTATTAGTTGAGAACAAAAGGCCACCAGGGAAAATTATAAAGACATGATGGGGAAGGACAAACCCATCCAAGAACCCTCAAGGAACTTAAAAGGACATAACTAAGACATGGAAAGAATGGCGAACTTTTTTGGGGAGAATTTGTAAGAGCTTAAGTTGGATTAAGATACTCGAGTAAGTTTAACAAGCACAAGAAAGGTTTAAGAGATCCAAAGAAAGAAAGAAAAATAAGTTTGTATACGAGAATTGTGGGGGGTTAAATTATGAGATTGAGCCCCCAACATTTTGATAATGGACAATCTATAATTTTTTTTTTTACTTTAATTGTTATGTATGAAAAGACGGATAAATGGTATTAGTTGAGGACAAAAGGCCACAAGGGCAAATTATAAGGACATGATGGAGAAGGACAAACCTATACAAGGACCCTCAAGGAACTTAGAAGGACATAACTATGACCAAGTACTCGCCCGAGTCATGGTAAGAATAATGAACTTTTGGGGAGAATGTGTAAAAGCTAAAGTTGGATTAAGATACTCGAGTAAGTTTAAGGTGCCGAAGAAAGGTTTAAGAGATCCAAAGAAAGGAAGAAAAATAAGTTTGGATACAAGAATGGTGGGTTAAAGTATGAAATTGGGCTATCAACATTTTGATAATGGACCATCTATCAAATATTTTTAGTTTAATTGTTATGTATGGAAAGACGGATGAATGTATTAGTTGAGGACAAAAGACCATAAGGGAAAATTATAAGGACATGATGGAGAAGGACAAACCCATCCAAGGACCCTCAAGGAACTTAGAAAGATATAACTAAGACTAAGTACTCCCCCGAGTCATGGTAAGAACCGTGAGCTTTTGGGGAGAGTTTGTAAGAGATCAAGTTGGATTAAGATACTCGAAGAAGTTGAAGGTGCCCAAGAAAGGTTTAAGAGATCCAAAAAAAGGAAGAAAAATAAGTTGGGTATAAGATTGAGCTCTCAACATTTTGATAATGGACACTATTTCGAACTTTTTTTAGTTGAATTGTTATGTATAAAAGGACGGATGAATGGTATTAGTTGAGGACTAAAGGCCACAAGGGCAAATTGTAAGGACATGATGGAGAAGGACAAACCCATCCAAGGACCCTCAAGGAACTTAGAAGGACATAACTAAGACTAAGTACTCCCTCGAGTCATGGTAAGAACCGTGAGCTTTTGGGGAGAGTTTGTAAGAGATCAAGTTGGATTAAGATACTCGAAGAAGTTGAAGGTGCCCAAGAAAGGTTTAAGAGACCCAAAGAAAGAAAGAAAAATATGTTTGGTATAAGATTGAGCTCTCAACATTTTGATAACGGACACTATTTCGAACTTTTTTTAGATTAATTGGTATGTATAAAAGGACGGACGAATGGTATTAGTTGAGGACAAAAGGCCACAAAGGCAAATTGTAAGGACATGATGGAGAAGCCCATCCAAGGACCCTCAAGTAACTTATAAGGACATAACTAAGACCAAGTACTCCCCAAGTCATGGTAAAAACAGTGAACTTTCTGGGAGAATTTGTAAGAGCTCAAGTTGTATTATTATACTCGAGTAAGTTTAAGAAGTATAAGAAAGGTTTAAGAGATCCAAAGAAAGGAAGAAAAATAAGTTTGGATATGAGAATTGTGGGTTCAAGAATGAGATTGGGCTCCCAACGTTTTGATAATGGACAATCTATCGATTTTTTTTAGTTTAATTGTTATGTATGATAGGACGGATCAATGGTATTTGTTGAAGACAAAAGGCCACTAGGGCAAATTATAAATATAGGATGGAGAGGGACAAACCCATCCAAGGACCCTCAAACTTACTCCCCCAATTCATGGTAAAAACGCTGAACTTTTTTGGGGAGAATTTGTAAGAGCTCAAGTCTGATTATTATAATCGAGTAAGTTTGAGGGTCCCAACAAAGGTTTAAGAGATCCAAAGAAAGGAAGCAAAATAAATTTGGTATAAGATTGAGCTCTCAACATTTTGATAATGGACATTATTTCGAACTTTTTTTTAGTTTAATTGTTAGGTATAAAACGACAGATAAATGGTATTAGTTGAGGACAAAAAGCCACTAAGGGCAAATTATAAGGACATGATGAAGAAGGACAAACCTATCCAAAGCCACTCAAGGAACTTAAAGGGACATAACTAAGAGCAAATTCTCCCCCGAGTCATGGTAAGAATGGTGAACTTTTGGGGAGAATTTGTGAAAGCTCAAGTTGGATTAAGATACTCGAGTAAGTTTAAGGTACCGAAGTAAAGTTTAAGAGATCCAAAGAAAGGAAGAAAAATAAGTTTGATATGAGATTGGACTCCCGACATTTTGATAATGGACAATCTTTCAAAACTTTTTTAGTTTAATTGTTATGCATGAAAGGACGGATGAATGATATTAGTTGAGGATGAAAGGCCACAATGGCAAATTGTAAGGACATGATGGAGAAGGATAAACCCATCCAAGGACCCTCGAGGAACATAGAATGACATAACTAAGACCAAATAGTCCCAGAAGTCATGGTAATAACGATGATCTTTTGGGGAGACTTTGTAAGAGCTCAAGTTGGTAAGATACTCGGGTAAGTTTAAGGTGCCCAAAATAAGGTTTAAGAGATCCAAAGAAAGGAAGAAAAATAGGTTTGGATATGAGAATTGTGGTTTAAAGTCTGGGATTGGGCTCCCAAGGTTTTGATAATGGACAATCTATCAATTTTTTTTTAGTTTAATGGTTAGGTGTGAAAGGGCGGACAAATGGTATTAGTTGAGGACAAAAGGCCATGGGGGAAAATTGTAAGGATAGGATGGAGAAGGATAAACTTATCCAAGGACCCTCAAGGAACTTAGAAGGACACAACTAAGACCAAGTACTCCCCCAAGTCATGGTAAGAACGGTGATCTTTTGGGGAGAATTTGTTCGATCTCAAGTTGAATTAAGATACTCGAGTAAGTTTAAGGTGCCCAAGAAAGGTTTAAGAGATCCAAAGAACGGAAGAAAAATATTTGGTATGAGATTGGGTTCAAAACATTTTGATAATGGACAATCTTTCGATTTTTTTTAGTTTAATTGTTATGTATAAAAGGACGTATGAATGGTATTAGTTGAGGACAAAAGGCCACAACGGCAAATTGTAAGGACATGATGGAGAAGGACAAACCCATCCAAGGACCCTCAAGGAACTTAGAAAGACATAACTAAGACAAGTACTCCCCCAAGTCATGGTAATAATGGTGAACTTTTGGGGAGAATTTGTTAGATCTTAAGTTGAATTAAGATACTCGAGTAAGTTTAAGGTGCCCAAGAAAGGTTTAAGAGATCCAAAGAACAGAAGAAAAATAATTTTGGTATGAAGATTGGGCTCCCAACATTTTGATAATGGACAATCTTTTGATTTTTTTTTAGTTTAATTGTTATGTATGAAAGGACATATGAATGGTATTAGTTGAGGACAAAAGGCCACAACGGCAAATTGTAAGGACATGATGAAGAAGGACAAACCCATCCAAGGACCCTCAAGGAACTTTGAAGGACATAACTAAGACCAAGTACTCCCCCCAAGTCATGGTAAAAACGGTGAACTTTTTGGGAGAACTTGTAAGAGATCAAGTTGGATTAAGATACTCGGGTAAGTTTAAGGTGCCTAAGAAAGGTTTAAGAGATCCAAAGTAAGGAAGAAAAATAAGTTTGGATACGAGAATTGTGGGTTAAAGTATGATATTGGGCTCCCAACATTTTGATAATGGACAATCTATCGAATATTTTTTTAGTTTAATTGTTATGTATGAAATGACTAATGAATGGTATTAGTTGAGGAGGAAAGGCCACAAGGGCAAATTATAAGGACATGGTGGAGAAGCATAAACTCATCCAAGTACCCTCAAGTAACTTAGAAGGACATAACTAAGACCAAGTACTCCCCCGAGTCATGGTAAGAACGATGAACTTTTGGGGAGAATTTGTAAGACATCAAGTTGGATTAAGATACTCGTGTAAATTTAAGGTGTCCAAGAAAGGTTTAAGAGATCCAAAGAAAGGAAGAAAAATAGGTTTGGTATGAGATTGGGCTCCCAACATTTTGATAATGGACGATCTTTCCATTTTTTTTTAGTTTAATTGTTATATAGGAAAGGACATATGAATGGTATTATAGTTGAGGACAAAAGGCCACAAGGGAAAATTTGTAAGGACATGATGGAGAAGGATAAACCCATCCAAGGACCCTCGAGGAACGTAGAAGGACATAACTAAGACTAGATACTCTCCCAAGTCATGGTAATATATGGTAAGTTTAAGGTGCCCAAGAAAGGTTTAAGAGATCCAAATTAAGGAAGAAAAATAAGTTTGGTATGAGATTGGGCTCTCAACATTTTGGTAATGGACAATCTTTTGAAATTTTTTTAGTTTAATTGTTATGTATGAAAGGACGGATGAATGGTATTAGTTGAGGCCAAGAGGCCACAAGGGCAAATTGTAAGGACATGATGGAGAATGACAAACCCATCCAAGGACCCTCAAGGAACTTAGAAGGATCTAAGACCAAGTACTTCCCCAAATCATGGTAAAAACGATAACTTTTGGGGGGAATTTGTAAGAGCTCAAGTTTAAGGTGCCCACGAAAGGTTTAAGAGATCCAAAGAACGGAAGAAAAATAAGTTTGGTATGAGATTGGGCTCCCAGCATTTTGATAGTGGACAATCTTTCAAAATTTTTTTAGTTTAATTGTTATGTATGAAAGGGCGGATGAATGGTATTAGTTGAGGACAAACAAGGGCAAATTGTAAAGGCATGATGGAGAACTGCAAACCCATCCAAGAACCCTCAAGGAACTTAGAAGGACATAACTAAGACAACGTACTCTCCCAAGTCATGGTAAGAATTAGAGAATTTGTAATAGCTCCAGTTGGATTAAGATACTCGGGTTTGCAAGGCATAAGTTAAGGACAAAAGGCCAGTAAGATTAAGATACTTGGGTAAGTTTAAGACGCCCAAGAAAGGCTTAAGGGATCCAACGAAACGAGGGAGGATAAGTTTGGATAAGCCTTGTACAAAAAGGAACAAGAGATGCTTCGAAGATACAACCTTAAAGGAACAATGTTGATTATGTCAAAGTTGGTTGGGTACAAGGAAAGAAATATGCTCCAAGATATAAGGAAACAAAAGGATGACTAAGAAAGACTTGTAATCTCAACAAAGGATGTTACGGCAGACAGTCAAGAAGAACAAATGCCGGAATAAGTACATAAGCTCAAGGCATAAGTTAAGGACAAGGGGCCACGAGGGCAAATTATAAGGACATGACGGAGAAGGACAAACCCATCCAAGGACCCTCGAGAAGTTTAGGAGGACATAACTAAGTGTAAGTACTCATCAAGGTATGGTAAGAACAATGAACTTTTGGGGAGATTTTGTTAGAGCCCAAGTAAGATTAAGATACTTGGGTAAGTTTAAGACGCCCAAGAAAGGTTTAAGGAATTCAAAAAAAGAAAGGAAGATAAGTTTGGATACGTGAATTGTGGGTTGAAGTATGAGATTGAGCTCCCAACGTTTTGAATTACTTCTTCTCATTCTTTGTAACAAAAATAATTATTGAGGTCGTGTTGTCTAATAAGGTTTTATTCGGGATGAGAGAATAAAGTGTTATGAAAAATAGGGTGCTTCATTGAACGGTCTATGGTTTTCTTGAAGAACTAAATAAGATGATATCCTTACTTAAAGTAAAAAAATCCACTTGATGTGGTAAATGGAGGACTATATGTTCGAATAGACAATTGGAAAACGAAAAATTGTTGGAATCAAGGATTAAGTTTTTCATGTCATAAGTACGAAAGAATTTGAATCAAGGACAATTAAAAAGCAAAGAATAGTAGGAATAAAGGAATAAGGAATACAAAAAGAGGTTCGTAAAATTTTAAAGAAAGGAAGCATTAGAATTAGAATAAAAGAATTTGTTTAATTCGTGCTATAGAAAAGTTAAATTGTATTTGGATATAAGCTAGATAATGGATAATCTTTTGTATTCTTTTAGTATAATGGAAGTATGAAAGGACGGTAGAAAGGTAAGTTTGGATGCAAGAAGTATGGTTTGAAGTGTGATATTGGACTTCAACTTTTCAAGTGCAAGTTAGATAACGACTTTTCGATTTTTTTTGAGTCGGCTAATTATCTATGTAAGGAAGTTAGGAAAATAAGTTTAGATACGAGAATGGTGGGTTAAAGTATGAGATTGGACTCCCAACTTTTTGATAATGGACAATGATTTTTGTAAGTTCAATGATTTTATATGAAAAGACGGAAGAAAGATAAGTTCGGATACAAGAATTTTGGTTTAAAGTTTAAGATTGGACTTCAATTTTTTATGGATGATTTTTTTGCCATAATATGGATAAAAAATAACGTTTGAGGTTGTACAGTCTATTAAGGCTTAATTTGGACAAGTGAATAAAGTATTATAATGATGAAATAAGGTACTTTTTAAAATGGTCTATTGGTTTCCTTGAAGAATTCAACGTGATGATGAATAAATTATTATGATGACGACATAAGGTGCTTTCTTAAAACAGTCTATAAGATTCCAAGAAGAATTAAATGAGATGATATGCTTATTTAAGGTGGGTAAAGATCCATTTAGTGTGGTAAATAAAGGAATATTTGTTCGAATAGACAATTTGGAAAACGAAGAATGGTTGGAATCAAGGAATAGGACTTCATTTTCCATAAGAAGTATGAAAGAATTTGAATCAAGGTCAATTGAGAAGGGATGAATTGTTTCAATAGAGGAATATGGGAACACAGATAGAGAGGTTTGTGAAATTTTAAAGGAAGGAATCACACGCTCAATTATTGCAATTATTGCAATTATGCTAAACCGGTGCTAAAGAAAAGTTCAATTGTTTTTAGTCTATAAGTGAGATAAAGGATAATCTTTTAGATTTTTTGAGTTTGATAGTTATGTAGGTAAGGAAGGAAGACCAGTTTAATAGTTATGTCGGAAAGGACGGAAGAAAGTTTAATTTGAATACAAGTTTTGGTTTAATACACGCAAGGAAGGAAGAAAGATAATTTTATACGTTAGAATAGATGGATGTCACTTGAGGGTTGCTGCCTTGTCTATTTGCATGTCGGCTATCCCATCTGGGACCTAACTTCACCAAACAAACCATGACAAATCTCCACCGCACATGTTGAACCAACAAAAATAAAGAAAAGATATATTTAATATTCTTAATAGATTATCAGCACATTTTGGTTTTAACTGTTTTAGCCTGCACATTGAGGTATCTATGTTCTTATAATCAAACACTTGAGGAGATGTTCATTCCCTTTATTTGTCTGCTTACTTCAGAAAAATTCAAACATCGTTCCCTCCCTTTTAACATTTGCACTAAATGATGCTGTAACTTACGACAGGGTCAGACTAAAATTCTCCTTTCTTTGAATTTGCATACTGTGCTTGATTTTACTGCATTCAATTTTTGTAGGCTACTAAAACTGGAGGGCCATATGGATCCATCAATGATGATTCTGGAACAGTTTTCAAGTATGGTATTACATTATTTGTTTTGAATCATTAACCTTCTACGTTTTTTAGTTCCGAAATTATTTTCAGCCATCATAGGGTACTGTTCAGCATAAATAGTATAGTTCTATATAACTAGCGATTCACTCTAACACGTTTCTTCTTAAATCTACTAAGTAGTTCTTAGGTAACCAAAAGCATGCAATCAATCTGATCTTGTCAAGAGTTATTAGAGTGAATAAGTTATTCAGAAAGAATGTTTATTACCAACATAAGATTGTGCTAACTCCATTGAAGGGCATGTTTAAGTCATCACCAGTTAGATTACTTAATTGCAAATATGATTTGTTGTGGACACCTAGAAATCTGATAAACCCCAATTACCAGGGTGTATACACGCAACAGACTTAGAATGGGTTGGGAAAGGTTGGTTATATAGATTTTGTTTTCGTTGGGCAGGATACTTTTATTGCATATCATTTTGGTATTGTCTGAGAAAATTGGGAGAGGGAAGTAAGATGTTCACAGGGTGAGGTCGGGACAGGGACAGAGAAGCCTTCTCCGTCCCCATCTCTGCCACCTATTTCATGTCTCGTTCCTACGAAATTTTTCATTTGTTTTTGTAACCAAAACACACATTATTTTTCAATGTGTTGAAAATATATTTATATTAAATGGGACGGGGATGAAAAGTATAATCACATCACCAGTCCCATTTATCTAACGGGAAAAAATGTTCTCCACTCTCTCCCATTCTCCGTCCAAACAGGGAATCTCCTCCCTATTCGGAGTAGATCCCTGCAAGTAAAATGGACATCTCTAAGGTAGGTGGCTCTTTAATCACATTGCTATTGATCATAAATAAAATTGTTGTGCAAGGCCTATCAAATTCCTAGAATAAAGTTGGACCAGTTGGTAAGTGTTTTGCATTTGAGAGAAGGGATTTGGAATGTTCCAGATTCACCCAGGATATTGGATTCCCACCTTCTCTGCATTCCATTGTAGTGGGTTTTCCCAAAATGTAGACAAAATCTTACATCTTAATTTATTAAACTTGTGATATATTGTTGAATATTTTAAAGAATATTTTGAAGAATATTCAAGAGAATATGGTTTTTGTCACATCCAAATGGTAGGAAGAGATGGTAATGGAAGACAACAGCCACTATAGAGACTTGGCTGCCGAGATGAGCTCGAGTAGGGGCTTACTGTTTTTCAGCTTCCTGCTTAGATCTATCAATTTGCATAAAATAAGAATGATTGAACCTAATGATGATTTTTTGAGAAGTAGGATCTGACTATAAAATCTGTTATATTCACTATAAAAAAACTAAAATTCTACATACTTGGTATGATATGACGTTCAAGACGCTCTAAGAACGACATAATTAGAGCCAAATTATACATTTAAGCTAAAAATCAAATGTGTCAAATGTCTGACGAAATATGTGATTCCCTGTTATAGTTTTTGTAAAAAAATATGAAGGGGGCTTTCATTGATAATGAAATAATGCCCTTTTCATGGTAAAAATCAACTCAAGGACAGGACAACATGAAAGTGCTTTAAAGAGAGCACTTATAAGCAGGCAATTCTTTTGAACTCAGCAATACAATCCAATGCCTTCTGAAATTCACTTTCCTCCAATGCTATTGTGAACCGGCAGTATCCAGGAATTCCTGTCCATGAGCTGCTGTTGATGCATAAGCCAGTGGCCTTCAGGATGGCTCCTCTGATGTTTGAATCATCGAGCTTCACTTCGTAATCGATGGCGTTCTTCAGTCTGGTTGTCTTGTTCAAATAAAGAGTCGGCTTTGCAACCATAGAAAACCCGGCATGGGGCTCGAGCACATCCCATCCACAGCTCTCAAGTGTCTATATCTCATCAGATGAGAAAATATTAGTAAAACAAAACATTTCTGGCATCTGGATCAAACCAAAAAAATAATAGTTAGTAGAAATTTGATGGTTACCTCTTCCAGGCGTCTGGACCTACTTCTCAGGTCCTTAATCTGTCTGGTTACAGCACCCCACATCTCTCCTGACTTCTTCTCGCTTAGTCCTAGCAACTTCTTTATAGCATATTTCACTGTGCTATGAGGTCGACTTAATCCCGAGAAGCTATGAAACAAGTCGATCAAAGGCAGTTGGTTCAAAGCCAGAAAACCGAATTTGAGGGCACCCGTTAGCATCATCGATGATAGTTCTCCAAGCAGGCAAACAGAAAACGAACTGCTAGACAGATAAAGCCTAGATAGAACTCCTTCAAGATTCCAGCCGCCCCAACCCTCATAATCAAATTCCAACCCTGAAAATGAAGTATCAATGATGACCCTAGCCCCAAATTTAGCACAAGTAGTTAACAAATTCTCTATTTCTTTCTGGTCATAAACTCGACCAGTTGGGTTAATTGTTGGACCAGATATGTAAACCCACGGGGTTTTCACATTATTGAGTGCTTGATTAAGTGCACACTCTGTTAGCTTGAATCCTTCTTCGGATTTGGTAGGTATATTTACAATTTTTGCCTTTAAAAACTTGGCACTGTAAACGTAGCTGCCGTTCGTCCCAACTGGAAAACACAGTGTTCCTCCTTCTTGGATGCAACAGAGAACCATCTTGTTAAACAATGTTAACGAGCTATCAGCATACGTGAAGTCTATACCAAATGGGAACCCATAAGTGGTTTTGACGAATTGCTTGATGCTAGTGGTGATATCTATTTCTGACTCTGACATGTTCTGTCTTGAAAAACTTTCAAAGATTGCAGCTTTGACTGGAAATGGAGTAGGCAGGAAGCTCTGATCAACATCCATGTGAATCAGGCATGAATTTTCAATCTGGTCAAGTGATAGCTCAGCATTATTCAGAACTGAGATGGCAGAACTGGAAAACCCAATTATGTCTGTTGAGCTTGCACTTTTGTCACATTTTCTCTGAGGACATGAATCAATTAAAAGTTACAACTACGGGTAAACAAGTACATTAAAAAATCATGTTTTATGTACCTGTGCTGGTAGATGTCGATCAGGTAGCTGAAAAGAAAGTAGCTCATGGAAAAGACATCCATAATAATATTGACTTATGGGTGCAGTGTTCCCTTCTAACAATTCTACGGTCTTGGACAAGGCCTTAAGAATTGGTTCTTCTTCAGAAATAACAAAAGCCACTTCTAAATCCATATATACCTGGAAAGTGTACTGAGTAGTCATTTAGTGATAATTTGATTGAAGGAAGCAACTGATACCTGGAAGTTGGAAAATGGAGTACCTGATTTTTCACTAGGCCGCACAAAATAGCAGCATGAGAAGGAAGAGAGTTTCCTGCTAGATACTTTAGGACGCCATTGGAACTAGGAAGACTGGATAGCTCAAAGTGGTCTGATATGTCTAAGAAGAGACGGGAACCTATTTCTCTTGTAACATCCAAAAGCTGCACAAAAGCTGAGCTAGTAACAGCTTCAAAATGAGCCATCCCAGTCACCACTACCTGAGGTTTCAGCTTCTTTATCAGCTCGATCATTAAATCGGACTGGCTCGGGGCGTCAATAACTGTAAGTACATCGTTTGCGGCACGATCAATTTCAGTCTGCAAAAGAAGAATAGAGATGATCCCAGGCTTGCCCCATTGCTAGTGCTGAATTGTGCATGACGATGCACTTACCTCAATATTGAGAGAAGTTAACCATTGTCTTGGTAGGTGTCGAGTTAGATGCTCATCCACAATGGCAAGTCGAGGGGAGAACAAGCGCAGAGTGTTCTCAATGGCCACAGCTCTCGAAGGAAAAACCACAACATTCTTCACAAGAAATGGCAACAGACAGACCACTTAGAGATGCAGCTTTGTGTATGCTTCACATAATAAAAAAAAGACCGCAACACTCATAGTGTTTGTGAGCATACATAGATTGATGAGCAGCCATGAAGCACGAACACTTCATTTTAGGCCGAGTGTTCATGACATAGCGTTGGACACAAATACATCCAGACACGTGGCCAACACGCTATTTACACGTCACGGTTGGGAAAAATTTTTAAACAAAATTTACCCGGATCATTTAAATTCAGAGAAAGAGAAAAAAAAAATGACAAAAAGTGATGAAACAACTTCTAAAAAGAATTGTAGTAAAATATCGATCAAGAATGGATAAGTAGTAGGTCATCTTACACCAGAATTGAGTGGTATGTGGTGGTATTTTTTCATAAATCCAGCAATAAGGCTTCGGAAACGCAAGCTTCCAGCCGGTGGCTCATATGGAAAACATGCAGTTTCTTTAAATATGCTGCTAAGATAAGCTAGGAATGAAATCTTCTCATCAGCAACAGAATCATCTTGAAATGATAAATCTAATGAACCGCTGATTTCTTGGAATCCACTCTTAAGAAAATCAAATATTGTCTTAACCTGTCGGTTCAATGCGATTTTATATGAATATTCATTCAATATCCTCGTTAACTTTTACCTTCAAAACAGCTTTATTAGGGTACGGAAGAACCTGATTTGGCTGACGGAGTTGGCAGCTATAAACTGATAGTGCATGAGAGATGCGACCACCAGCCTTCCCATAAGCCCATGCTGTTCGAGCACAAATAGGCTGATCCCCTGAAAGTCCCATAAAAAACTCGAAACGATGCGGACTGTTTTTCTCAATTTCAACTAAGGCAGAGATGTCAGTGTCAGCCGCCTGTAAATAAAACATTTGAATATGAACTCTACATGTATGAACAAATTCATCCCTGATGAGAAAAAAACGTTTCTTGCCTGAAGAATTTTTGTCTGCCAAAGCTTGGTAATGCAGAAGCCACGCCGTTCGAATAAGCGCTTGCAAACACCTTGTCCGGGACGACCTCCCATATTGAAGATCATAATCCCTGTTGATTTGATAACACTTATTCCTTCCTCTACTGCCCTGGCTATCAGACCTAATCCAAACTGATCTTCAACAAAACCCTGCATTAATAGAGCTTAGTGAACAATATTTTACCAGTACGAGTGGTTACTATAGAACTGGTCGAATGTGTTGAATATAAGTCATAGGACATAAAATGTAATCGTTCAAGCCCGCTGCCGGTATATATGGTTCTCTTTAGGTTTTCTCTTTTGGGGCTTCCCCTCAAGGTTTTCAAAATGCGTAGAGAAGTTTTCACGCTCTTATAAAGAATGTTTCGAACTA